TGGTGGTGGTGGGGTGCATGTTTGCAAGTGGCTGGAGTCTGATCTCCAGCAGGTTTTGGAGCCTCAAAGGCCTAGCTGTAGGCAGCACTGGGGGGGTGGAGTGGGCAAAGGAGAGTGTCTAAGTCTAGGGGACACTCAGGCTGGGGTCTTCTGGATTCGGTACCTTTTGACTGAGCCCCCAAGTCCTGCTCAGGCCCTCATTCCTGGGCTGAAGGTCTTATCGCCAGAAAAGGGCGTGGGGGAGGGGCTGCCCCCCCACCAGGGACCCCTTGGGAAGAGTCCTTTCCAAGGACAGGCCGAGGGCGGTGCCATCCCGGTGAATTCGGAGCCCGGGGCAAAGCCCTCACAGAAGGGGTCCTCCTCATTTCTAAAACAAGCAAAGCTCCACTCCAGCTTCTTGTTATGTAGATGGCAGGTCTCCAGCTGGCCTGCCCCACCCCCACTCCAAGCTGAGCAGACGACCAGGGTGGGGCCTGGAATGGGGGTGATAAGACCCACCCGGAACTCCTGGGCTCTGGCCGACCCTCTTGCTGGGGAATTTAGGAGCCTCTCCCTCGGCACCCCGACCACCATCTAGGCCAGTTGGCTCAAGGCCTGGCTGAGGCCAGGGCTTTGGGAAGCCTCTTCCCAAGACCTGGGCTAACTGGACCGAGTGCGGCCTCCAGCTCCAGCCTGAGAGGGCTACTTCCCCTTTCACTGGCCCAGGGTGGGGGCAGCCACCTGCGTTTCCATCCCCGCACAGCCCCCCTTCTGCCATGCTCGGTTCCTAGGGCGCAGAGGTGATGCCCCGCCTCCAGCTGGCGTCTGCTTACTCTATCAGGTGCCCTCTCCTCCCTCTCAGCCCGGGAGGGAAGGTCCTGACCATTGCTGCTTGCTTTGGGGCACCCCTGGTGAGACCGAAGTTTCTATCGCATTACGGGGGGAGGGGGTCGGCCCTTAGCAGCAGTAAAATCTCGGGGGTGGGGGGAGAGGGGCGGCCTGTTGCAGGCCTCTGCAGCGCTTGTCTGGCCCGCCCCAGGATGTGGAGGCATAACCTTGCCCCGACCTTCCTACGAGCCCTGACGCCAGCCCCTCCTCCCCCGCAGGCCTTCCCTGCAGGGGGTCCTTCCGGCCCGACAGCCGAGCAGCACGAACTGGCCACGTGACAAAACAACCTTTTATTCAAAGTACTGGGTTTAGGGTGGGGAGGGGCTGCGGGGGCGAGGGCGGGGGCGGGGAGGGGGTAGCTGGCCTCACTCTCGCTGGCCCAGCAGGAGGCCCCTCTCGGCCGAGGCGTTCCCCAGGATGAAGCCCACAGCCAGTGAAACCGTCTGGTCGAAAGAGCCGCGCAGCTGTTCCACGTGCTGGTTCAGGGTTAGGAGCTGGTCTCGCAGCGGGCCCAGGATAGCCGCGATGTGGCCCAGGTGCCCCAGGGTCTCCAGAACGACGTCATTCAGCGACGAGGACGCGCGGGGGGGCGCGCATTCTCGGGGGCGGCCGGCGAGCGGGTCCGGGTCCCCCTCGGCTGGGGTCGGTGCCGGCGACGGGGAGCCCGGGACGCGTGAGGGCGCGGGCTCCTGGGGACAGCAGGGCAGCGGATCTGCACCCTCCAGGGCGCGAGCTGGGATGAAGGTGGCCGCCGGGCCGGGTGTAAGCGGCGGTGGGGAGTCGGGAGCTCGCGGTGCGCCCGCGGACTTCGGCGGAGACGGGCTGAACCTGAGTGTCCAGGTTTGTTCCGTGTCGGGGTCGCGGTCGGCCGGCAACAGCGAGGCGTCTGGGAAGGCAGGGTGGAGCGTGGGTCGGCCAGGGCCCGAGCGCGCCCGCCTCACGCCC